TGCAAGCATAGCTTTTGGAGTGTAAATATCCCATGGGATGCTAGCTGGTGTTGGCGTAAAATCCTTTTGATGAGAGATTTATTGAAGGCTAATGTGGGAGTCAATTTGGCCAATGGACAGAACACTTCTCTATGGTATGACTCCTGGCATCCTCTTGGCCCATTTGATCGTATCGTCCCTTGAAGAATCTTTTTGAGTACGGGTTTGGGGCATAATGCCAAAGTTAGCGAGGTGTTGATTAATGGCCAGTGGAGATGAGCAGAAATATTTAGGGGAAACTTTCCCCATATTTTGACTAATCTCCACATTTACTTCCGGACTTATCGATGGATATTACTTATTGGAGAACCGCAAAGGGTAAGCCAACCACACTTTCATCGAAGCAAATTTGGCGGGATTTAGCTAATGCAAACATGTGGGTGAGCTGGAGCACTATCATATGGAATAGTACTTGTATCCCCAGGCACACCTTTATTCTCTGGCTTGCTATCAAGAGAAAATTGTTGACTCAAGATAGGATGCAAGCTTGGAGAGGGTCGGTTGACTTAGCTTGTGTCCTATGTGATAATGTAATAGACACTCATGACCATCTCTTCTTTGATTGCCCTCAACCCATTTGGAGAGTTGCTCAATCAAAGGTCATTTCTACGCCAATGTGATTGACTAGGATAATATTGTTGTTTGGGTTGCAAATAATCTTAAGAAGGAAGAATATTATAGTTGTGATAGGACGGCTTTTATTTGGGGCGGCTGTGTATCTTGTTTGGTAAGAGAGGAATATGCATCTATTCAAAGGAAAATTCAAGAGCATTAACTACATGAAACATCAACTTTTTGAGGTTGTCAGACTAAGGTTAAGCAGCATAAAGCTAAAGGATACAGCCAGAACACATAAAGGGGTTGAAGAATGGAATCTTCTTAAAGATTGTATTATTAGTAGAAATCCTACCAACAACCGATCTTATGAGCAAGGATAGGAAAATTCAAGGATGGTTTGCTCCTTATCCTTGTGGGAATTATAGCTTTATGGTGATCCTTTCTTGGCAAATTCAGATGGTTGCTAAGAGGATCGATCAGAGATCTCTAGGAAGGCTGGTTGATTATGATTATGGATGTTGGTTGAGATGGTAGATTCAATGGATCTGTTTTGGTTTGTATATGTTTTATCTTTCTTGCAGGTACTTTTTGTGTGGATATAGGGATAGAACCTTTTTCGATAAGGGAAACATTGGGACCAAGGGTGTTTCTTGTAGGCAGAAGATGTATAGGTTGCCTGTTTGTAGCTATAATATAAGGATTGGTGGGGCTGATAGTTTTGATGATTGTGTTAGGATGGATAATAGCTGCTGGGAGTTACCAAATATTGTGTTAGTTGGTGCTATTGTGGTCAGAATCTGTACATATAAAGGGCAATATAATGGTCTACTTGAAACTTTTTTCTTCTGTTATCTAGGTGGTTATTTTGGTGACTATGCAGATCTGAACTTCACTAGGGTTTTGTTGAATTGGTTAGGTTGGACAGCAGTTGCTTATAGCTGTTTATAATTTAATTTTTGCTGTCTCTGTATAGGGCTGGAGTGTAACAGATTGGATCATTGCTTATACGTTTTTTCCCCTACTTTTGCTTTTGATAATAGTACTAAAATCTTATACAGTAGAATTTGTTTTTGTCTTGGGACTGCTAGGTTATATTGGCTTTTTGTGTAGTGTTGCGATCAGGGGTTAGCATGTTCCTTTGGCTGGTTTTTGTGGATTCTGCTGTTTGTGTAAAGGGTCTACTGTTCTTTTGTTTTTGTAGCAAGCTAGAGTGCTTTTTGCTATGCTATAGTTTGCTTTGCAACTGGGCTCCAGGTTTGGTTATCCTTCTTTGGTTACCCTTTTTTGTTTAGTTTCACAGCTCCTTGGATTGTTAAGGGGTTGGCATTAGGATGTGTTATTTTTTTTTATAAAATTACTGTGCTTACCCAAAAAAAAAAATAATAATTTCGGAGGATTCACACAAAAAATTGGTTGGAGGGTTGAAGACGAGTTTTGGCCAAAACCCATATGTTGATCGGATTCGGCCAATTCTGCCTTTTGATAATATGGTGGCTAAATATGGCCGAAATCATTTCATTTGGTTGATTCAACCATTTGGATAGAGCCTATCTTGGCCAAATTTAGCCGAATTCAGCCAAAACCCCTTGATTCACCCAAAAAAAAAAAAAAAAAAAAAAAAAAAAATCAGTAATTTCAGCCATCATTCCACTGCCATACACCCAATTATCCGACCATTTTCCCGCACCTTCTCAACAATTACAACACGTATCATATCTCGCCATTGCTCACAAATACTGACACCCTACAATTATCCTCATAAACCCTAATTTTTCTTCTATGCTGTTCAAAATAATCTGCCAGACAAAAAGATAGTTTATAGAAAGAAAATTTAATGGAATATATCAGGTACAAGCATACAAAATGTTTAGATTTTTAATTGCTTCACATATAAATCTACTATTGATTTTTTTCTCAAAGTTCAAAGTATGGTATTTTTTTCCCGAATTTCAATTTACTTCAGAATTTGATTTAGGAATAATGATGGTGGGGAGTATATAACATAAGTGAAGGAATAAATGTTAATAAAAAACTCTCTTTTAAAAGCTATTAAAAAAAAGGGAATAAGGGCATTTATGAAATTTAATGGGGTGCCATAAGGAAACAACAAATAAAAACAAAAAAAAAAAAGTACATGGAAACTAAAAACAATGAAAGGATAATAATGTCATTTTCTCTCAACCTCTTGGCTATAGGGGGTGCCGCAGTCAGCCATTTCTGGCACTATTCTGATGCCTATTTCAACCCTCACCTTCCCCCCGTCTTTCCCGCCGCCACCTGCACTCTGGTGGCCGCGCCGTTCAGGTTGTTGTTGTCCTTCACGCATGTTTGCTTGTGCGCACTTGCAAATCCAGTTGCGCCGCCTCCACTAGTCAACTGGATTGTCCATTTCTTTACATCGTTGGGGTTCCTTTGCCATCCCAAGCCCGTTGCCGCATTTCTCCGCGCCACTGCACGACGGTGCAAGGTTTCCATACTTCTCTTATTTGATCTTCCTTCTTTCCAAATAAAAAGTCTGTTATTCTATTTTCTTCTTGTCCTACCAATGTAAATTGGAATCTCCATCCATCAGGTTTCTTCCTGTTATTTGCATCATTCAAACTACTACAACATCATTCGAACTTTACTTACTTCAATATCACATTGGATCATTCGTATCACTCAAATGTATAACACCTAAACACCTCATTCCTATTCTTTACAGCCTCGTATTTCAAATAACATTAGGCAACTCTCAGAACCTTGAGTCAGAAACTCCCGCAAGGTTGTAGATAAAAACATGTCCATTTACCTTTACTTCTAATTTATCAACATATCTGATTCAACCTCCAAGATTGGCAGTAGATGACACCTCTGTTGGGTTGGATGGTGGAGTTTGGGCCCGTGGCGTGCTAACTGTAGCCATGGCTTAATCATCATGAGGATTACCCAACTCATTCCATTCAAGAGTAGCTATTTGTTAGGAGTCAAGGAATTCTATATTTACAGCTCAAAAATAAGCAGCAAAGAGAAAATTAAGAAATTAAGATTGAAATATCTAAACAGAAAGGATATGTTCAGTCCGCAGCATTTGGTCAAAGCCAGTAATCGATGGATGCGATTTCGGTGAAGGAGAAAGAAGAAAAGGGAAGAGGAAAAGAGAATGGTATTTTTGTCTTTACACCGTTATACAGTGTTAGAGAACGGATTTTCTTAACAAAATATAACGGTGGGCGGGAAAGTGTCGTTTTGAAACTTAATGGGAGGGAAAAGTCATTTCCCCAAACCTTGGGTGGGAATCAGTATTTCTCCCTTTAAAAAACAACTTAAAATGGTGTTTGGATTGATTCATTTGAACTCAATCAATTTGGACCTAAGCCCAAAATGAGCCCAAAAACTGATTTCGATATTGCATGGAATTCTTTGTCCGTACAAACTTGTGTGATTAAGAGTCAAGATCATATTAATAATATTGAAATGCAGGAAATTAATTATAATCTTTTTTTATAAAAGTAATTATATATATAAATGCGAGATTTGAGATGAATTTGAGTTTGACAAATATAGCCTAATTTGGGTAAACTTAAAATTGGAGACCCCATCTTCTACCTTAGATTAACAGTATTTAAAAAAAAAAATAGTATCAATGGTTTTTATATATTCAAAAATATTAGTAAGAATTTATAAATATGTTTATTATATTATACTCTAGATATGAAATCTCATAATATCTTTTATTTCTAAAGTTGTCAGTTATAAAAACACTAAAAAAATTAACATAAACATCTTATTTTATTCAAGTTCTAATAATTTCTTGGTCATATGATCAGTTTTTTTATTTAAACAATGTAATTCTGAATAGTTTTTCCAAATATAAAACATAGAAAAGAAAAAAGAAATCAAATGGAGTTGTATTTTGTATAAGTCTAGAAGGATATAAGATTTGAAAATTAATAATGCCGTAAAGAAGAAATATTAAGTTGCTTTAGAACCAAAATTCCTAGAAATCCAACCTAAACAGCCCAAGGATTGAACATGTTCATCGGTTTGGCCATATTTCACACATTCTATTAATTAAACCACTCCTGAACTCCAACATAGACATTAGACAGAAAGCTTTATTTAAATGGAACATGGTTGTAAGTTGTCTTTTCTGTTCCTATTTATTCAGAAATTTGTCAACTGGAGATTGATGAACCCATGGTTTCATGAAACTACTGTCGCTGGGCAGTCAAAAGAACCCCACACATGAAAAGTCTTTTTGGAGCTACTTGACTGAAACATCAACAGAGTTTAACAGTAAATTATGAGCAAGAGAAGAAATTTCCATTAAAAGAAAGTACAAATACTTCTTATTTATTAAGAGAAGAACTGTTCTACTATCTTTTTTTTTTTTGTCAATTCTACTATCTTACGGTTTCCAATGAACTGTTCAAGTTGCAGGTGCTCCTCGCCTGAAAAAGAAGAGAAACTGTTTTCCAGAAACTGTAATCCACTTCACAAGCCAACCGATCAACCAAGACATGGAAGCAATGCCAACACAGGCACCCCATTGTACCCAATTCAGCCTCTTGGTGTTTGCAAACCTGTTGAGAAACTCCACCATCAACACTTGCAGAATTAGTGTTGCCCCAACTATCCCAACGAAGAGTTTGTTCTTGTGCAACCCCTTGAATATGTTCTTCTTCTCCAGGTTCCTTGCATTGAACTCATTGAAGATCTGGCAGAAGACAAATGTATTGAATATGAGGGTGTTCTTCAACTTCTCATTCACATTAAAGATGGAGCTTCCCTTGAACTGCAGAATCAGTAGCACACTTACTTGATACAATGCTTGAGCGGTGAGGTTCCTCCACATGACATTGGTTATAAGTGGTTCGGTTCGACCCACTGGTGGTTTGATCATAAGTTGGTTGGTGGGTCTTTCAGTAGCCAATGCTAAAGCTCCCAAGGTGTCCATGATTAGATGAACCCACAAAGGTGAACCGCATAGTGGACATCACCAGAAGAAACTGCTGCAATAAAATTGATGCAAGGGCTGCAACCTCACTGTAGCTGAAATGAAGAACTTGAATGTTGTTGTAGACCACACCTTCCCCACTTCAAAACTGTCACGACCAGAGGAAAAGTTTAGCCAAGATGATTATGTCTGAGCTCTCCTTTGCCACTTCAGTGCCTGGATCCACATGGAGAGACGAATATCAGCTTCGTTTAGAAGCAGGGCATCATTGTCTCATCTCGGTAACAGCTACCACTGGATTTTTGCTTCAAGCATGTACCATCAAAAGCTTGTCCGAAGGTGATGACCGCTTGCCATTACACTGATTTTTATCAATTTTTCATTCTCTCTTCAGGTGAGTAATTCCTGAATGAAAACCTTCGACGACAGCTTCGATATTTCAAATCTTTACGAGGACGAATTATTCCACATTCAATAGATAGAGCTCTTGCGGGGGATGTTGTATCCAGTGATATTTGACATTCACTCCAGCTCTTGCAGGATCTAAAGCTGTACCCACACCTGACGACATGGACCTTCAAACAACGGCCTTACCCAGGATAGGTCAATGACAGGATTCTTCAGCTTTCATGACTTTTCCCATTTTCTTCTGCAACTTTTGTGTGAGCAAGGCAATGCATCGAGGCTCTTAGCTGCCATACCCTTAATTAATGTCTCAATTGTGCATTCGTCGTCCATACAATGACGTTCATCGTACGCTTCGTCATAATAATAGAGAAAATATGGGCCAGATATCTCGGCAGCTCCCTTCCAGCAGTTGTGGAAAGCCTTTCGTTGATCTCCTCATCAAGACACCACTTCTCTTTTCTCTGAAATTGAAGGCTTTACAGGAGTATATGACAATTTGCTTTGACTCATCCATGATATTTCCAAGTCTGACACAGCCAAGAGATGTATTGCTTTCTCAGTGGACTACCAGAAATTCGGAGTGAGCAGGAATTTGATGGTAAACAGTACCAAATTGTGTTTGAACAACCCCATCGGCAGCAACTCATTAACGTTAGTGCCATATCAAAATCCTTCATCGCTTCTTTTCCAAGCCCAAAACTCGTTACTTTCATTTACATTAAAGTGAGGGGTGCCTGTTTTGTCCGTGACAGATTGTGGTGGCCGAGCCCATGTTTCACAAAGCAGAGAGTGTTCTCACCAACGCCGTTATTTTTTCAAAAGCCACCACATTCATAGAATAAGCCAGAGTGAGGGAACAGCCAGAGGCAAACCTTCAGGAATCGCACCACACTACCAGATTGTTACTGCTGCAGACAAATAATACGAACAACGCATCATTATATCATCAAATTTCGCCTTGCCGCCGGTGAATTTGGTTTCATTTTCATCTGTGGTATTTCTGTAAAGTAAAGAATCAATAAAACAAGAAGGACCATTAAGCCAAGCCAATCCAGCTTTCCGATATAGGAAGTCAGGCTTGTGAGGCGAACTTGCAGGGGAGTCGCCGCATTCCAAGTCACGGATGATAGAACTCATCTCTCTCCCATGCCGATTTTATACTGACAGATGATGAAGCATAGAACCATAACCATCTGGACCTTCGTCGTGCCAGAAAAGCAAGAAAGGATTCTTGCGGCATTGATCTAAACATGGTCACTTTCACCCGTTAAGCTAGATTCATCCACTTCAAGGAGTGACCATTCAAGACAACCCATCAGCAGGAACTGATCACCAATCTTCAAGTCACACAACATCACCACTACAACTCAAAGATTTGACACGGCTTGGCACGCCTGCCATCGCGTACTACTTCAAACTTTTAGTCACCACTTCATTTGAAAGCTTTTTCAAAGGTCGAGTTGCCTTAGAAGGTTACTCACAGCAAACACCAAATGTACCTAGAACCAAAGCAAAAAATTATGCTTCCTCCATCATAAGCACTTCTTTCCAACGTGTTGTTGATAACAAAGGCCAGAGAAAGTTATAGCACACATAGAAGTATATAATAGGTGGATCTTTGAATGCCTTCATAAACGAAACGTGAAGAAAGAAACTTTTTTGCAAGCGCTTTTCATAACTGTTTGAACCAAACATATTTGTCTATGTTAAAAGCTTAGCATCAGTACCTTCAAGACCATCTTCTAATCGGTTCGAGAATTTGAGCAACTGGTTCACGCCTCCAAGATACTCAAAGATCCAAGCTATTCTCTCTGACCCGCGGAGAGTAGGTTTGATCAATATGAGAAAGCCGCGCCATCATCCGACGTCTATGTGTTATTGACATGGATAGCAACATAGAGAGGGAACGAAAGATGTTTCGTCCTTTCCGGAGCTTTTCTTGACAAGAAACAGAGCTGGTGAAACATATTGCCGCAAAAGCCAATCGCATCTTCTACTGTTGACGTTTTGCCAACGCCAGAGGGCTCTCTTCATGTTTAGACAAGTCAAGTCCACTGGAATTTACGCGCCTCAAAGACATGTTAAAAGGAGAACAGTCTGAGGATCACTAAAGATAAAAACGAAAATGGCCTGAGCCTGAATAGAGTCAAGATGCAACTTAATGCACAAAGAAAGTTTGGGAATTTTTATTATTTTTTTTTGCCTTGTGTAGTAGGAAAACTGCAAAAAACAGTCTTTTTGAGTTGAAAAAATGAGTAATATGAAGAAGAAGCTTCCTGGCCGTGACAGTGAGGAAGAATCATTCGTTGAGAGACAATATAACAGATTTGCTTGTGATGTGATTTTCTTGGTCTTTGCTACTCTCCTTCTGGAAAACTGGCTTTGAACGAATCTGCGTGTAATACTGATAAAATCCGTATCTTATACTTTTGATCAATTTTATTTTTTTTAGGTACCTCCAAAATACGGTCAAAGTTCTTTTACTTCTCTGAATCCATGTAGTTGGTTTATAGTACAATTCTTTTGAAATAGAGAAATATCTACTTAACAAAACTTACAGTTAATAAATTTGCGGATAAAAGATATTAGTTTCTTTAGATACTTTAAAACTCTGATTCAAATTTAAATTTCTTATTACTTTATCTCAATTTAATTTACTCATTTAATAGTGTGATAATTTGTACCAAAATTAAACCACGCTAATGGATGTATATTGTTGGAAACAAAGTCAGGTTCAGGTATTATAGAGGAAATTTCGAGGCAAAAATCACAATTGAGGAGGCCGTTATTATCACGTTTTAAATGAGCATTATGATTAATTGACTATTGAATTGCCAAACCGTTGTAAATTCCCTGGAAATTAATTATTTTAAATATACGTTAGTGTTCAGTTTCCTGGTGTTGCTTAAATAAATTTTGACCGTCAAACCAATCTCTAAACCTATCTATGAAGATACTGTATGTTATTTTTGTTTGCTTATACTTAAACTTATATATTCTATTCTGTACAAACATCATCATGCCAATTAAAATTAAATCATTGTGCTGACTGCAAAGACAGGCATTAAAAGTGCTTGTATTATTTAGGCGTATTCCTCACTGAGAAGATTATTGATTTGAATTTTGCGGATACGTGTGGAAAGTAGAGTCTTGAAAATGATGTATAAAGAAAATTACTTATAATATCGATGCGTTTTTGGCTTATTATTTTATCCATATTTTGAATCATATTCTTCAATATTGTTTGACACGTTATTCCCAAAATATTAGTCTATTTTTTAATTACTCCTAGACTCCATAAGTTTATTAATTTCATTAAATAGTCCCCAAAAAAAGTTTTAAAAACTAACAGAAACACCCCTATCCACAATACTTGCTAGATTCTAACAACCATCGCCACGTGGGTGGTAGCCGAAATTGTCACAACATCACACGACCACTGATAATGGCTGGTAATGGCCAGATCTAGCCGTCAACGATGACCAAAGAAATAGATGGTCGGCGTCGACTGTCAACGACGGCAAATTTGGCCATCGTTGACAGACAACGATGGCCAAAGTTCGGCTTTTACGGCCGTCGAAGGCCAATCCAGCCTTAGATTGACCTTTTCGGCCAGATCTGTGGTGGATATGGCCAGTAAAAGGCCATATCGAATCGAATGCCGCTAGATCGATCGGATTTGTAGTTATCCAATTTTTCGGCCAGATTCGACGGTGGTGGCCGGAATCTGGCACTTTGGGTGTTAGGGGTGTTTTGTCATTTTACAATTTTTAATATATTGGGGGATTTATTAAATAGCAAAACCTTGGGGGCTTTTTTTATAAAATTTTAAATTTTATCTGTAAATACTCCCCTATTTAACTATCCTACTATTCCCCAAAATTCTACCCAAAATAAATAAAGCAAACGCACTTGATAGAATAATCTGCTAAGATACAGGCAGTATGGCACCACCATAAGAAAACTGCATTGCATGTGTAAGCTTCCTCCAATATCGGACATGGATACCAATATAAAGTGCCTCTATCGACTCAATGGACCATCGCAATTTCTTTGATCGCTTTCTCAATAAAAGATCAAAAAAGCAAAACCCAATGTCTCAAATTCCTTTATGTTTGTGTGTGATGATATTAACCAATAATACTATGCTTTCTAAAATTTATCTCAAAGTTTCATATGGGAAGTGAAATATCATATTATGGTATTGAAATGTAAATATAATAAGGATGATACATCAAAATGATGGTAAGCAATGCTATATGATAATACATCATTTGGGATGTGAAATATAAGATAAGTATTTGAGATGAGTAGTACAACTACAGCACAAAATATAACTTATCATACATGCCTATATAGAATTTTTTTTAAATAGAAAATACTTAAAAGCTCTTTTAATAACACATTTATTAATATATTTTCTATGAAATATATCCAGTTTTTTTATTAAAAAAAAATTATAGAACAAAAATATTCTATGAAGTAATTTTCACCTTTTTAATATTTCAATTTTATTATTTAAATTGCCTTCCCTCAGATAAATCTGGCTCCATCACCGGAGACTCTGACTCAAAGCTGCATGCATTAGGCTT